ACCCATGCTTGATATGACCTAGTGACCCCTACGACGTTCTTTAGGCGTCAGACATTATAACATTTGTCACCCCAATGTTACATATTGATATGTCATCTAAAACACAATTTCATTTTAAACTGTTTGGTGAAAAGCTTTCCATAGTGGATGATTTGTTGGCTTGCAATACTCATTATAACATGGAAGTAAAATAGTTTGTGACTTATGTGTGATTTAGCTCCTCGGTATATAGTGTAGTCATATTAAATTGTAAAGTAGAGCTCACATTTGTATGATCCTTATTGTTTAACAATTGATTTGATAAATTGTTTAAGAGTATATTGGATATTATGCATGTCAAATCCAAGTTTTTTTCTTGATAATTGTGATGAGAGTCGGGCCTTAAAGATCTAAGCGATTAGTTCAAGGAACGATCTTGATTTGAAAACTTTTTTGCATATACTCGATTAAAGATTCGATAATTTTTTGGTGAGTCTCTCAAAAATTTCTTAAACTCGTGTTCTTCTGGTCGATATATTATTTATCATATTTTGTTTTGGAATGGATCTAAATCACAATATAATCCTAATGGTTAGCCCACAATTATTATAATTCTTTTGACCCAATTCATTTTTCTTTTGATTTAGCCCAATAGTTTGATTTGTTACTGTTCACGGAAACCTAATTTCAGGCCCTATATCAAAACTAATTCCATTGTCCGGTTGTTCTCTTTTCAACGTCTTGATTGTAAACTTTAATTGTTTGTGATTCTTTTTTAGTTTTCTGGACTAACTTGCTGGGGGACTTGATCGGTCCATTTGTTTTCTTGTTTTTAATCCTCAACTCAAAATCACTTCATCTGATTCTTTATTAAGTTGTTTCCCTCCATCTATTTACAATTAAAAAGTCAATCCCAATTATTTATTTATTTATTTATCTCTTGGTATTCTTTATGTTAATCGTTGAGTTAAAGCTTAAATAATTAAGTATCATATTCAATTGTTATTGGGAATGATTTGAAGATTGATCTAAAAACATTGCTAAAGCAAAATTGATTTTAAATAGCATTGCCTAAATAATTTGATATTAGATTTGGTTGTTAAGGTCTTTCCGTTCTAGGGCTTAGAATTTTAATTTCACATGTGAAGTAACTGATCCATCGAAGAATTATTCATATATGCTTAATATTTAAGAATAAAACTTATGCTCTTCTTTAGAGTTCGGACATCCTCACCTAACCCATTATTGTATTGATTGATTTGTCATAATCAACTATTTCTTACATTAACATAACAATTGGTATTTATTAACATACTTTTAGGTAGATTGTAACAAGGTGTTGAACACATAATTTGTATATTTTATAATACTTGTGACATAAATTTGTATGGAAATGGATTATATGGAGGATGATAAGTTCAAAATTATGCTGACGTTATTGTTTTGTAACAAACAATTGATTATAGAAGACTTTGATCATTAGTTTTATTGAGTTTATTGATGTTTATTCCTACTCTTTAACTTAAACCAAGAAATTTCATGATTTTTAGTGAAATAGTAAAATAGTTGAAGTAAAAAAAAAATTGGGATTTTATTATAAACTTGATCAAAATAATGAAACTTTTTGAAAAGCAACTGTGTAAAAAATAGTTTACAAGTAACTAAAAAAAATTGATTTGAATTTTGTATCAATAATTAGAAATTTTTTGTTATCAAAATAAAATTTGAGACTTTTTAATAAAGTGGACCAAAAAATTATCAACTTTCTCAAAATTTCCCTAAATAATAATAATTAGAATGTTCATAAAAAATTTCAAATGTGTCCAATTTTTTTTTTTTTTTTTTTCCTTCAAGTTTACCGAAAAACCATATTTTGGGTATACTTTACTTTTACAAATGTTAAATATAATCACTAAAATAATCTATCCTGTGGGTAAAACATCAAAAACTTGTAAATGTTGTGGTAAAACAATATGTGAGACTTACCTTTCATTTTCCCTATTTATTACTTTTAGTTCGAATGAAGAGGCAAAGTAGAGATCGGGATTGAGAATGGAGAGTTATGGCTCGAAGTGGCTCGAAACAGAACAAAATCATATGGTGATTTAGACATGCACAAAAAGACCGGTCTCGAATCGGACCCAAAAAAAGAGCGAGACTGAACCGGTCTAAAACGAAACCGGACCCAAAAAAGACCCGCTTGAGAACATCCCAGACCGGTCCAAAAAAAAACCGGTCCGTTCGGAGACTTGTCTTAAAAAAGACCGGACCGGTTTGAGACTGGTCTGGAAAAATAAACTTGTAACTAAACTTTATAAATATAAAAGTTTTGTTTTAATTATACAAATTTTAATCACATACTATCTAATTTATTTTATTATTTTGTTTTATAAAATTTAAAATATCATTTTTAATAATTTTTAATTTATTATTTTAATGATAATCTCATATTTATTAATGGAAAAAACTCGAAACCAAAACAAAAGAATCGAAAAATATCGAAATGGTACAAAAAAACCAGTAAATCGAACCGAAAAGACGTATGGAAAGACCAAGAGATGAGACCGAAAAAGACCGATCGAAAAAAAGACCTATCCGAAAAAAGACAGATGGGAAAAAGACCGAACAAGACCGGTCTGAGAAACGGACCGTTCCGAGACCGACTACAAAAAAAACTGAACCGTTTCGAAACCAACCCAAGACTGGACTGAAACCGCAAATGTGCAGCTCTACGGTGATTTAGTGTTCAGGTGAGTAATCAATCCTTGTTCTTGTTGGGCTGTAGTTATTGGGCTAGTGTTTTTTCTTGAGTCCATTTTAGTTTGATAATGGGCTCGAAGTTGCATCTGTTTCTTATTTTTTAGACTTTTGAAATGCGGAAATAGTATGAACTATGAAGTTCTTGGGTGGGAATCAAACATGAATTATCTTGTATTTACAATGAATAAATAGTGCACATTGTTGTGGATTTATAAAGATCAGGGAAGCTATTAGTGTTTTTTATCTTTAGGAATTTAAAAAAATGAACTTCATGTTTATCATTGATGCATTAAAAATACATAATTACTGTTGGAAGTACACTCTGGAAATCATAAGAAATTAATGGTGGTTGAGGGAGAGAAAGGTTTTCCATCAGTTCGGTGAAACCTCCTGTCATGTTTTTTTTATGGTCATGCCTGCTTTTGCCGAAATGCTAGGCATAACTGTCATTGACTTTTCATTTTGAGTTTTTTTTCCCCCTTTTTTGGTATCTCCAACCGAACGCTAAATATTTTAAATATAGTTTTAAATGTTCCAACCCAACACTATATAGTAATACCAAATTAGGTGTTGGTGAACAATATATAAAACTAAATAGACTATATATTAACAACAAATAGACTATATATAATATTGTTGCTTGTGTTATTATATTATAAATTAGATTGATATGAATATACTACGTAAAAATATATGGTTCAAGTTTGATAAAACTATAATTAAAGTTATTGAATATACTGATGTGAATTTACTATTTACAAAAGCTTATAAATATAAGGGTTGTAAATGAAAAACAATAAAAACTGTAAAATAAAAAAAAATTACTTTTAATAGTTTTCTTGGTAACTTTTCTCTATACACAACATTTATATTTTATAAAGTTAATATTTTAAAATTCAAATTGTTGCGTAAAAAAACTATTATATACGAATGCAAAAAGATGTTTTCAATATTAAAAAAATTATCATAAAAAGATAACAAAGAAAACTATAAATATGTATTATCTTAATAATATGAAAATTTAAGGATAAGGTTGTAGGGAGAGGCTAAGAAGGGATCATGGAATCCAATGAGGCTTTAGCACACAACGTTAACCATTGCTAGCTATAACCTTAGGATGCAATAATTGTATCATAAAGTGTCAATTGGAATATTCATATCCTCGTTATTTTTTCATGTAATGCTATTTTGTAGTGAACTTTATTATCGATGCTGAGTTTATTACAAAAATGGTATGGGACATCTACAAGTGACTAAGAAAACCACATGAACTATTATTTCTTAGGAACTAATATATAGTTTTGTTCCCTTAATCTTTTAGTGCCTTGTGAGCGTCTTGTGAGTGTGTTGCAATTATTTGACATACAGAAGAAATGGAGTTATTAGTTGTCTATTTGCCTTTTTCACAGTTCCTTAGGACATATGATAACGAGGTTCACATGGGCATAAGAGAAGCTAATGTCAGTATCAAATGATGCAATCTTGTTTAGAAACACGAGTTTTATCGTTTTAACAATGTAAAACAAATGATTTAATATAATTTTTGCATGAAGTGTATAGTAAAAAAAAAATAGTGTCAAACACTATATTATGTGACATATCATTGCTACAAAAAGTTAGTAGCATGGTCAGAAACCCATATCACGACATATTGGAGACTTAACAAACCAATACTAGTAAATGTTTTTTCGTCTGTATTAAAAATCTATTTAAGTTGGATTCAAATGTCATTGTAACTCATCATGTTAGGTATTATTAGCATCAAGTATACAAATCATAGGTAGCGGAAAATTCAAACTTGATATACTTAAGTGCAAATGCAACCTAAAATGTATATATATTTTACTATTATAACATATTTTTTTAAAAACAAAAAACGAAAAATTACTAATCTCTGTAAAAACAATTGAATAATGATCAATAGATTTAAAACAGTCTAAAGGAATCAAACAATAAGAAAAAAGATTGAATATGATTGAAAGGGTGTTGAATACTTTATGGCAACTAAAACATGAACCCTAAAACATTACATGCATGATATATTTATAGTCTAACCCTAGCACTATAATGATGGATGGACAGATGTAATCCTTTAAAATACATGCATAACAAAATTGACACAACACAATAAATAGTGCAACAATCTCCCCATTTATGTCAATAAGGAAGGAAGATTCTTCACTGTTGAATGCACTTCTGAACCTTGAAATTTTTTGACATTAAACCGAGCAAGGTGTTACGAACCGTGATATACCACTTAATCATGTCCGCAAAGCATTTCTTGTCAGAAACATCGTTAACTTGCATTGTTTAGTAATACTCATGATATAGTTCAGACATGAAGTGGAATAGAGATGCTTGTCACGTAAAGAAGATAAGCACTTGTGAACATTCATTCCATCTCTATCACTTTGCTGAAAAGCCACACTCCAATTGTCCCTGTGGATTCTTCCGAGTTTCATCTTGGATATATCCTTCAGAGCTTCTTTTGGTAGTACAAAGGGTTTATTTCGTAGTACAACCGCTAACTCTACATCCATTTCCCAAACTTCTAGGATATAGGAAATCAACATCCTTCTCAGATGCGCCACAATAGGTTTGAATTTCTGTTCATCTTTCGATAAATGATTGAACATGGAAATCCAATCGTATGGGTTAAGGCATGGAAAATCTGCAAGTGTAGCTGATGGAATAGCACAACCTACCCATAATGCTGAATCCACAAATCATTTGAAGATAGCTTATGATTTGGTATATTTTTAATGGTATATCAATGTTTATGTTTATGTATATGTTTTACATTTTATGTTATTTATTTAGAAGAGGAAATTAGGATATGATCCGCCCCATAGTGAATGCTCATGTATATACACACGAAGAATCATGATGGTGTCTGTGACAACCCAAAATTTCTATTCTGTACGGACATATCATGCCAATAGAAGTCAGAACAGTTGCTATTAATTTTCAGACTTTTTAGAATAAGGACGAGTATTTTAGGATTTACACTTCAAGAGTTATCAGGAGAGAGGATGCCCTAGAGTATTTTGTGCATCTTAAAAGTTTCAAAACTCCACGAGTTTGGAGTTTAAGGCTCGAATGATATTTTGACCAAAAACTTCATGGACTATATATATGACACATTAGCCATTTCTAGTCATTTGTTCCATTTTCGACTAGAGAAAAACTCGATTCTCTCCCAAGGATCTTCCATCTTTCGTCCCGGATTGTAAGTACATCTACCCTAGAGTGTTTTAAAGCTTACTACATGTTTAGATATCTTAGAAATCACTCAAAAATCACAAGAAGAAGGAATTCACGACCCAAGATGTTCTTGGACCGTAAACTCTATTTTGGGTGCCAAAGTGCCCCCAACTCTTCCCTTATGCTTAGAAACTAGTATGGAACCCTTCCCTTATGCTTTTTGCACAAGAAAACACCAAGATTAACGGTGTTTACGGTCCAAGAATACCTTGGGCCGTAAACCCTTCTTAAGGGGTCAAAAATGGCCCTAGTCCCTTCATTTGCTTAGGAAACTAGTCTAGATTTATTCCTTTATATGTATGGGACTTGAAAACATCATAAAACCATGTTCCATAGGAGTTTACGGCAGAAAACTCATGGAGAAATGGTCCATGGACCGTAAACTCCATTTAGAGGTGTTTTGATGCCACAAAGACTTCCATAGGCTTATACTTCAATATACAAATGCTTCAAGGGACTTACAAGACTTCAAAACAACTCATGGTCAAGAAGACTTGATTTTACGTCCGTAAACCCATGAGTTTATGACCGTAAACGCCATGGGTTATGGTCTTTAGGGAGTAAAGTCACAAAGAGGGTTCCCTTGAACCCTAAAACTCAATAGCCTTGTCCTACAACACTTAGATGCAATCCTTAGCACTTATAACACTTATATAAAGTGTTTAACATGTTTTAGGATGTCTTAACCTTGTTAGTTAATTGTTTAAAGGCTGATTGGTTACATATATGTGATATTATATGTTAAGTAGGACCATTGTGTGTGTTCAAGTCCTCACTTGACACCTAGCACCTTGTCCGACACTTCTATCCGATCCGCTCACTACAGGTGAGTTCATACCCCTTAATTAACCTTTTTAAATGTTTTTTAATGTTTTAAATGCTTTATGGGTGGGGGGGGGATACAAGTTGAAACACACTAGTTATTAAATCAATCACATGTGATTAATATCTAGCATGCAAATAGATTTACTACACTTTTAGCGGTTTTACCAAACAGATTACTTCAAATGACTTTCCAAAACATTTTTACTAGTTACAACTCTTTATCAAATTGTATTACATACTGAATGTTTCTTTTCAAAACTCTATTACAATTGTGTTTCCAAAACAAAGGATTCATTATACTTTAAACTGTTCTTATCAAATAAACTGTTTTACAAACTGACATCAAGTCACCTTTTCTTAGTTCTTAAACTCTTCAAAAGTTTTACAAAACTTATTTTATACTTTTATATTGTCAATTGCATGCCTAGATATGTATAGTTATATAAGTAATGTTTGAAGGACTTAGGAATGCTAACCCACCTTATTTCCTTTTCCCCGTTGGGATGTGGTCTGGTGGGGTATCGGGTATCCGTCCAAAGGTCGTTTAACTATTAGTTATATATCATGTGTACATAAATAGTCATAAAGGTTCTTCCAGTCAATTGAATACCCTTGGGTAGCGAGGGTATACTTCCATGTTCACATGTACAAGTTATATTACTAGTAAGCTACAATAGGCGTAGTTTAGGATTTTACTAATACTAATACTAGAACAATGAATCATACAAAGAGTCAGTTCATGCATGAGTCAATACTTGCTAGATAGAGAGAACAAAAAATACAGCTAGCACACACAGAACATTAGAATACTTGCTAGATAGAGAGAACACACAATACAGCTAGTACCCACAATACATTACAATACTATACAGAGTGAACATACAGGCTAGAAAAGAGGGAGAACATACAATACAACTAGCATACATTACATTCAGTTATGTAAGCTATTAAACGGGTCATGGCACTACCTACCATGACTGTTTTTGTATCCATAATCTCCTTAATTGGGAAGCGTATGAGTTTGCGTATAGATCTATACTGGATTGACTATCATACACCTTGTTGCTCGCTACAGTGGGACTTGCAAGTCTACGGGTGCCAAATGTCATTTCTTACGGCGTCTTACATCGTCGTTTTACTATTGAGTCGGTAGCAGGATACAAGTCGATCACATGTTACTTTAAATTTCGTTTGGTTTAAGGTAGTTAGTACAACAGTAGTCACTTATTATAAAACTACAGTACTTTATTATTTCCTCATTACATTCACTTCGTGAACATTCACACGATACACAGTAATGTAAATACTGTATTTCTGGTTAATGATAATTAGATTTGGGAAAATACACACTCTTACAAGAGACACAGTCAGATACTAGATGCGTTGGTAGAAGGCTACTTTCAGTAGGAAGCATAGGGTTTTCTAGGTTATTCAAAACTTTTAGAAACTCATTCTTACAAATACAATCTTACAAATACATTCTTACAAATACAGTCTTACAAATACATTCTTACAAATACAATCTTTCAAATACCGTCTTAAAATACATTATTATAAACACAGACACTAAAATACTTATGATCTCACCAGCTTTAAAGTTGATACTCTCTTTCAAAATAACTTGTATCCTCATGTCAACAGTAGACAGGTACCGATGCAAGGTTTACAGAAGATGGAGCTCGTTCAAGACTCATCTTTCATTTTGATTCATACTTTAGTGTCTATTAAACATGTCAGAACACTTGTATTAAAGTTATATTATTAATGCAATGGATGATGTTGTTGCTTATTGACTACTATTCATTGTTGTGATGTTGTACATGACATCCTCCGCCCCAGAACGTTTCCGCCGTTCTAGGTTTTGGGGCGTGACAGATTGGTATCAGAGCATTGTTTATAGTGAATTGAGTATATCAACCCATAGAAGATATACAGACTATAAATACAATGCGATTAAAGATACTCTGACCAAGAGTTTATACTTTAAATAATAAAATATTTAATTAAGTATACGTGCCTGCATTCATACTAAAATCAGTGTCACTAGGACAGTACAAAAGAATTACGATTGTTGGACAACACAAGTGGACTTAGAGACATATAGTCAAAACTGGGAAGATATAGCCTGATCAACTATATTATCCGAGGGTTGACTAGCATGTACCTAAGTGTAGTTGTGAGATTACAACAAGTCTAAAATCTTACCAACAATACCACAAAGAAAACAATAGAACATAAACCTAAAATACTATAGGGGTATTGGGTGTTACTATAAGTACTTTATACTTGAGAACTGAAAAGGATCTTCATTACTAATTTGATAGTTGCTAAGTGGATACACTAAAGCTATATGTAACTAGGACGTTATAAACTTAGAATCTGTGAAAATTTTGCTTTACCCCTATTCTTTATTAATTTGGAGTTAAAGTCACTTATTCGAAGGGCTATCCTGTTGTGATTACATATAACTGGTATGCACTTCACAAATAGTGATGTAACTAATGAAGATTTTCTAAATAATTATCTAGATAATTCGTCTAATAATTATTTTCTTATCCCAATTCTCGCGTAGATAACATGGATGGACTCCATCCCCACGGTAACTCGTACCTTCCGAATGAGGTCATTGCTGGATGGTTTAGCGAAGAACTAGAGAATGATCATCCGATCCCTTTGAATGATCACCATGGTGAAGACCTTTTGGATGGTGCTAACTCTGAACTCGAGGTTGAGAACCTACCCCCGGTAGCTCCCATTCCAAATCCTGACCCTCGTCTGGCTTTTCATGGCCCGACGCCTCCTTGGGTCGAATGTTTGGAAACATGGAGCAAAGATCAAGATCAACCTATGCCGTTTAATGGAGACCGAAGCTTCTAAAATGTAAATGAAGGGAGCACAGCAGACAGAGTTCTACCAATCCTGATCCGTAGCGTTTCCCGAAACGAAATTCAGGGAAGAACCGCTCTACATCGTATCGCAGAAGTTGACACCAATGGAGGGATGCATATCCTTTGCACCAACCACCTTGAACATGATCATGAGAGATCTGAGAGAGACCACGAAACCCTGCTGCAAGCACTAGCTGAAACCCGAGCCGAAGTCATAGAGCTCCGAATACGTCAGAGGGTATACCAAAGATACCTGCTTGATATGGAACGTCAACTAGCTGAACTAAGGGTTCACCATAGGGGTGACCGTCGCTAGTAGGAGATAATTTATTTCCCTTCTTTGTTTTTAAGAACCATGTTCCTATCCATGTTCTGTGTAGCACTTCTCTATGTGACTACCTTGTACTGTAAGTACTTTAGTTAGGTCTTTATGCTGTCAAATACTTTTCTACTTCAGATGTGATGTAAGACCTACTACCAGGTCAATATTTCCCAAACTTATTACATGTTAAACATCGATGATATTGACAGTCGACTAACTCCTGTGTCACTCTTTGTTCAAAAACTTTCGTCATACCTTCATTTGGATTCTATCTAAAACTGGCTTTAGTCAAGTCTTTGGACTATAGTAATTTAACTCCGGGATCATCTTCAAGTCT